TCGCAAGGAGTAGAATTATTGCGATGCCACTTGAATCAGGGCACGTCGTACGCTCGGAAATCCTCGCATTTAGTCGCGTGAGGGAGATGGCCCTATGTATGCCGAAAATTTTTCGCACACTGTGCACTCCGCCCCCTCCCAGCTCGACAGCAGATTTTTAAACAGAGTGAAAATTTTTTTGAAAGGTGGAAAAAGTGGTAGACAGATGGAAAAGTCAGCAGGATGGAAGGTAAAAACGAATAAGGGGGTCATTCCACGAGAACATAGTGTTGGGGGAAGACGTATTTTGCGGAAATCTTCCCCAACGACGGGACGTGTCCTGGCTGCAATAATAAAGAAAGAATGGGCGGTATAAAGCAAAATTGGATAGGGTTCTACTGCCGAAGTTTCATAGTTCCCAAACTGGCAGCTTCCCCTGTAATGCATTCTGAATTGTGACTACCTACCTTTTTCCGTCGTTGGCGAGGAATACTGTCGTCGCTGTCATCAGAATCCGTAATTCTCGGTGGCCTTGGACTGTCATCACCAACATCTTCAGGGACACGAACAGGTGCACCATCAGATGAGTCTTCCTCGGACGAAAGGAAGGCTTTACTTTTAACTGAATGAGTTCTGCTATCAACAACTGAACTTTTTTTCAAAAATAAGTGGTGATGGATCAAAACTCACTTTTTGCCGACTGCTTCTGGGAAAGCCTAGCAGCCGCTTTCCGCTCCGCAGCCTCCTTCTTCCTGCGTCGACGCTCTTGCCCTGACTCTTCTCCTTCAGACCCACTACCGGCCTCAGCAGCTCGTTTCTCCCTTCGTTTCCTTGCCGCCTTTTTGGATGCAGACTTCTAGAAAATAAACATCGATTCAAACTCGATATTGACTTTGAATTCTCTGAAAAACTGAGCAACTACCTCTTTTCGACGTCTTTCGCCACCGTCACCCCCTCCTTCTTCCCCATGCCAGCTCCCCATGTCCGAGCTGTCGTTGACAAATTCATCTCCGCCTTCACCCTTCCGCCTTCGACCGCCACCACCTCCTCGTCCTCCTTTCTTTTCATCGACCAGCTAAAACGAAAGACCACAATGAACATGTTTTGGACGTGACTCCAGTACAACAGAAAAGTACCCACTTCAGGTATCCGTAAAAGATTCTTCGTCATTTGTACGTACTCATTTCTCATGCTCGCCATTGAGGCCTGCTTTTCTCGTAGCTCCTTCTCACGCTCTTCAATCTCCTGGGCTAACTTTTGTCGGAGTGCTTCCCTCTCCTAAAAAAAGTTGCTGAACTGATATAACACATCAGAATGAGACTGAGCCTTCTTGAGCCTGTGCTCAGGCCTTGCGTATGTGGATAGTCCGCCATTCATGACAGTGCTTGGTTCGGAGGAATGCGCGAAGAGGAAATTTCACGTATTCATGTGAAGGATGCGCAATTCGAGAATCAGCATTCTTCAACGCTTCGAATTTCGATATGAGAATCGGTTGGTTAAGTTCAGTAATGCTACTGGACAATGAGCAAAACCGATCAATTCTCATTCCACCGATTCCCTCGAATCGAGTATCCTTCGAATGGATAGTACTTTCCTCTTCGCGCTCTTCCCCGAATAATGAATTGCCAAGAATCACGGATTCTCTACATTTGCGATGCACCCAGTGACTTGAAGGTCGTGAAGAAAATTTACCGCATGTTGTTTAGCTCGTTGCCGTTCATCTTCTTCGTCTCGTTGTTGTGCACGTACCAAATAGGTTTGTGCTTGTTTCAATAAGTCATCACATGCTCTGGCTTCATCACCAGCATGTGTACGAGAAACATACCGCGATCCCGATATGCCTTCATCGCGATTCGTGGAAATATACGAGAACACCCTGAATATTAGTTTGAAACAAGGCGCAATGTATGGTGTAGTTCGCTGCGTACGGTTTGGGCGTGTCAGGGGTGATTTGGCGCGTGAGGCATTTTCCGACTGCCTCTCGTTCCTTGTTTACTTGGCAATTCGGTGCCATACTATTCTCCACCATTTTTACAGTGATAAGTGATATGACTGTATCATATCGGTCGTATTACTCGCTTTCTATCACTTTTAGTCGCATGCGCGCTTCAACAAGAAGGCAGAGACACGGCATGTTGGTGACGCGTGCTGACACACCCATACTTGCCTTTGACTACGCCCAAACCCGTCCGCAGCGAACTAGAGTGCTAAGCAAAGTTTAATTTTTGAAGTGGGTATAAATTGAAAAATACTGTAGGATCGATATTCAAAGGACAAGAAAAATGGACATAAGTTGAAGAGTGAAATACCCCCAGAACTCCTGAAAAGCATCGTTTTTTCCAAAAATGTCAAAATTAGTACCTTCCAGCAGTTTTGAGATCATCCATGGCACCTCTCACTTGTGCTGCCGTTGATTTCACCTCTTGTAGTACCTCTGTAGCCATTAGTTTAAGAACGAAGGCGTAATTGAATTTGATCAGCACATTATCGGGAGATTCGAACATGGCCTGAAACGTTAGTTTGAACAGAATTTAAATAAAAATATCGACGCTGTTCGGCTTGTAGGGGGCATTTTCTACTTTTTTAGAGCATTCTGTTAGCTTATGTCAGATAACAGGGCTCACTTTGGTAGGACTTGTAGACTCTTGTGATGCTCTGAAATGGTACAGAAGAGGCACTTTAGCAAGGAGTCAACATGTCCTCACACCGTAGCCTGTACAACCTTCATCGAGTACCATTCGATACCCCCTCCAAAATAAATTGCACCAATATATCTACACCATACCTTTTCCAACGTTTGAAGACTTTCAGCAAGCTTCCCTGCTTTATAGAATGCCCTTGCCAAATAAAGTAAACATTGGTGATCTTGTTCCTTGTCGAATTTCTTGATAGCATTCGTATACCTTAGAATATGAATAATATGACCAACAGATAGACTGCAGCATACCGGTTGGCCGCTCTTCACTAGAAATAACACATAGTGAAGCTCAAACTCACATTTGTAAAGCTGGAACGTATTGCCCCAGTTCAATATAAACATGAGCGATATTCATCCAAACGTCTTCGAATTCCGAAGTAGCTTCGCGAACTTGCGCAAATATGTCTCGTGCATCTTGCCACATAGCTTTTGAGGCTAGTACACAACCTTAAAATCATAGTCAACACATAACCTCTGACGGATGAACATTATTGAAGCAGGGTTCAGGCTCCGCGATTATGCACTTCGACGCGCTTAGTTACTCAATCTAGTATCCAGAATAGCAGGGTACTAGACCGGGTGATTACGCCACGCTACCTTCGTATCCTATCGTACTCCCTCAAAGCACTAGCGATCGGCGCCAATCGATACCCGCGTATGGCTATGTTCCCGTCTTTAGCCTTGAGCACTATCGCGATAGCGTGCCGACGCAAGTCTTCGCGAAGCTTGAACGCTGCCTAAGATTGACCTATTCGACAAAGTATGAATTCATAAAATGCATAATGACGAGAAATTAGCAGCTCACTCTCTTACCGATTCCATTAGCTGCCCAAATGTTTTTAG